GGATGCAGCTTCACAATGTTAATAACTTTATTAAATCAGAGCTGTTCTTTTTTTCAACCCAAGCAAAGGCACTAACCCTTAATGAGCACTTGGTCCATGTCAAATTTTATCTTTCAAACACCAATCATTTATCTTTCAAATGCCCTGTCCAAAAATAGCATGGTTAGATTTCTTTTTAATCTTTGAATTGGAAAATGTAGATATTTTTCATTCTCAATACTCAAAAAATCTGAACGGATTTTTTTGGACAAAACCTTTTCTCTTTTGGGCAGGAACAAAACCTGTGAAATTTCATCCCAATAGTGGGATGTATCAGAAAGTTATGCACTGTGACAACAGAAATAGAGCATGGAATTGGGAATCGGCCTCCTTGATTCCATCCTAACTGCACTTACTTGAGTAGGTAAAATGAAATGCATGGTTGTATAAGAGCAATTTTTCTACCTCACAGACAGGTTGTTCCTATTAATTAATGTTTCCAAAATGCTCTATGTCGCTCAGATGAAAGGTGATATATGCAAGTGCAAAACACCTATAAACAGTTCAGTTACAGCAAACAAGCAGATTTGCGGGTTGTCATAGAAACTCTAGGTAAAGCCTGCCTTCTGTTCCCATTTTTTCCTTTCTAAGCAGGCATATTGTACAGAGTTAGAGACATTTTAAAATAGCATTGTTTCTTTTTAAAGGCAGCAAAGGCAAATGACATTTCCATCTCTACCTAGAGGTGAGGATTTGTTTTTTAACAAAGTCTTAAATCTCCTGTGCAATGCCCTCTTTTTTTTTTCAGGTGGCCATTACTTTCAATCAGAGCTCATGTTGTACAGCGTACATTAACAAGGCCATTCACATACCTCACTGTGGATATCTGCTGGGTGTTCCAAGGTGCTCCAAGGGTGAAAGTAAATTCTTCCAATTAAACAGAAGCACATGCAGTGTGTGTTAGATTGCGGGAAAATACTATTCCTAGTTCACATAGATTATCTGTCCGCCTCTGTAGAACACATAACAGTTTGGTTTATATGAGATTAATTCCTTAACAATATGTAGTTTTCCTAACTGGGTATGTGTGATGGGTTGGATCACAGAACCCCCCTTGGGAACTGTCAACTGATGTGCCAAGACTACTTCTGTCCCTGCTTTCCCTGCCGGCCTGGGAATCCAGCACCTTGTCTTGTTGAGCCAGACACGCCAGTCTGCTCCAACACAGACCCAGGGTCTAAACCACGTGCCCCAAAGCTGCAGTCATAACTGAAGGCAACTTATAGAAGTGTTCCTGTCTTTAACACTCAGATGCCCAATCCCAACGGGGTCCAAACCCCAAATAAATCTGTTTTACCCTGTATAAAGCTTATACAGGGTAAACTCATAAATTGTTCACTTTCTATAACACTGATAGAGAGATGTGCACATTTGTTTGTCCCCCCCCGCCCCACGTATTAATACATACTCTGGGTTAATTAATAAGTAAAAGTGATTTTAGTAAATACAGAAAGTAGGATTTAAGTGGTTCCAAGTAATAGCAGACAGAACAAAGTGAATTACCAACCAAAATAAAATAGAACATGCAAGTCTATGTCTAAGACAACTGAATACAGATAAAACCTCACCAGTTCCAGTAAGCTTCCTTTTACTGACTCCTTCTAGTCTGGGTCCAGCAATCACTCACACCCCCTGTAGCTACTGTCCTTCGTTCCAGTCTCTTTCAGGTATCCTTGGGGTGGAGAAGCTATCCCTTTAGCCAGCTGAAGACAAAATGGAGGGGGTCTCCCGCAGGCTTAAATATACTTTCTCTTGTGGGGGGAAACCCCCTCCTCTCTCCTATGCAAAGTCCAGCTCCAAGATGGAGTTTTGGAGTCACATGGGCAAGTCACATGTCCATGCATGACTGAGTTTCTTACCAGCCAAGACACATTCCTGGGAAAGCTCCGATGTGGATTGGCGTCTTCGAGTTCATTGTTGGCTTAAGTGGTTCTTGATTGGGCATTTAATTTGCACATTCCTTTCTCAATAGAAATCAAGGAAATATACAGCTAATATTCCTAACTTCAAGTACAAAAATGATACATGCATACAAATAGGAGGAATATATTCAGTGGATCATCAACTTTACATAGATATGTTACATGGCATATGTAGCATAAAACATATTCTAGTTATATCATATATATGTTTCGCATTATATTTTCAATCCATACCTGTAGCACAGTAACAAGAGCTGGTAGACAGGGGGAAATTGTATTACGAGGGTGACACAGCAAAAATCCACCATGAAGACATCACTATATGGAATTGTACTGTAGATTTGTCTCCAACATTTCCTTGAGAGATCTCCAGACTTTGCAAGACTAGTGATTATGCTGGCAGTTTGCCAGGCGCCTGGGGGACTGCACCTACTTTTAATATAAATGCATCACAGACTAAATGCACACAGCCATAATATTTGTACTTGTATTTAGGGGAAGTGAGATTGATTATTGTTTCAGCATATTGACATTAAAACCTTTCATTTGCTTACCTTTCTCCTCTTTCTCCTCTTAAAGGGAAGGAAGTAAATAGTGAGCTACACTTTATGGCTTCATATGTCACACCTAGTCCTTAAACATACCATAAGCTCAAGTAAGAAGAACTTTTCCTAGCTAAAGCACAGGAGACCTGGGTATTTTTGTTCCCAGTTTTGCTACAGGCTCATTCTGTGACCTTGGGCAAGTGACTTAGGCCCACACTTTCCAAAATATTTTTGGGTATTCAACCTGAGACACCAGGGATCCTGATTCTGAGATTTGCTAAGAACCCCACAATTTACATTGACTCAGCTGGAGTTGAGTGGTTTCTACCTCTGAAAATCAGATATGAGATGTATGAAGTTAAAATTAAAAATCACAGAGATCCCCACATGACAATAGGGTTTTAACCATTTTTATGGTAGGGCTCTCTTATGGTATCTCTATCTTACAGATGAAAGGAAAAGCAATCTGGGTTGGCTAATGCACAGCATATTATTTCTTTAGCAGTGCCCTGTATGTACCAATAGAAACTACATCATCCATTCAGAAAAAAATCTACATACATGTTTCTTTCTTTTCCTGTTTTATAATAGAAATGTTAACCTTGGCACAGGGCATTTCCTGAGGGTTGACTGAAATGTCTTGGTGATATCTTGGGTCATCTGTTCCACCTAGTCAGCCTTTAATCCTCAGGGAATGTCTTGTGCCTCAATAGTAATTATTGCTTAAGAGGAATGAGCTCATTTCTGTGGGTTGTTTTATGCATATGGAATGCAGTATTTTTCTTTCAGTGCTGATTGCAGTGTCTGATTCATCATATCCATATTGATGAGTGAATGAGGTCCAGATATGCAAATGGAAGGAAGGTGGCTTTTATCCTTCCCACAGATGTTTATATAGAAAGCAATGAGTACTGTTTTAACCACAATTGATTAATTTGGATAATAACACTATAGCTATTTGTCCAGTTACAAGAGACATCCCATAGCACTACTTAGGGCATGGGCAAAACTAAGGGAGCAATCTCATTGGTTAATTGAAATCCAGAGCTGTGAGAGTCTGAGAGAACAACTGATCAGCTCCACACTACATTGTTAGTCTTACTCTAATATTTTTTGTTCACAAATTCAGTATGATTGTTGTATAAGTGCAATAATGTTCAGTCTCCAGGAAGTGCCTTTGGCTTTATACCTTACTACATGCTCAAGGTCTCATGGTTATCTTACAACAACAGTACATCTGTTCAGGTGTGGTTTCCTACTTATAAGACCCTCATCAATATCACATATGTTTGATATGTTGGGATATTCCAAAGAGCACTGATAGCAGTTGATTTCAAGCATTGCTCACTAGGCTAGCATGTTCTATAGGCTTGATGTTGAAAGGTACTGAGCCCTCCTGGTAGGTGCTGAGTGCCTTCAACCTTCTGTGATGTCAGTGGGAGTTGAGAGTGCTTAACAGTTTGCAGAATTGAGTTCTGCTGTCTCTCCTAAGCATTGTTGTGCAGCACAGTTTGTTGAGTTATCAGGTAGTCATTAGTATTATGTTGGTCTATTGTCACCCAAGGCACGCTCATGACATATTATGATATGTTGAATATGATATATTTTAAAAATAATGCAGTGTAATCCAGGCTGGTTTTGTCTTTCTCTTTCTTGAGTCCTCTGTGGAATCCATGACTAGCACGCAGAAGGCAGTTGTAAGAATACAGCATCCTTGCTGCAGCATTTACCCATGATGGATATGAATTCCAATGAATGTGACTCATCGGTCAGCTTACTTAGTGCTGCTGAGACTCCTTTTTAATTTCTATCTCTTGGCTCCATAATGACCAGCAATTACAGACAAAGGAGTTCCTCTGACATATCAAATGCCTCCATTGAAACAATGGCTCACTGACAGCACAGCAGCTCACTGAAGATTCTCAACTGTGTATTTTGTTTCCTTCCCTTGTGATAATGATTGTCATACCACATTGGACTCCCCATTGTAGACTTACTCAGAAAACTAATTAGAGAGATTGCAAATGAAATTTTTACATAAATTATGCTCACATTTATTAAACATCTATATAAATTAAAAACATCAGTGTACACTCTGCATGTGTATATGTTTATAGTAAATATAAATATATGAATAAGTGGCTGCATAATTACAAAAGTCATAGTTGCCAGTTACTCTGCACACAGTACTAGGGATGGAACCCTGATTCTTTGGTGTCAAAAATGCCTTTAAGACTTGAAGTAAAGGAGAAGCTCCATGAGCTAGTAACTAGTAGTTAGGCCGTTTATAGGGCTGCCACTAGAAAGGGACGGAATCATGACCATATGACAAGGTGAGAACAGAGAGCATGCTTAATGGCATCTCATCTATAATCTGCCTCTGAATGGGCAGTCTCTGCCTTATAATTACAACTCTGTACTAGTTCTATTCTAGGCACAGGCTTTTGAAGTGTTACTGTTGCCATACATTCTAAATCTTCTCTTTATTTTACAGGAGGCCCAAAAGATTAATGCTGGTGGGGAAACCCAGGCTGATGGAACCTGCAAACCTACAGATGAAAAAGAGGAGACTGTTGCAGCAGAAGTGGGCTGGATGACCTCTGTGAAAGACTGGGCAGGAGTGATGATATCTGCCCAGACTCTAACCGGCAGAGTCCTTGTGAGTTTTACCCAGTTTGCTCAAATCTTCTTTAAAAAGAGTAATTGTTAATGAACTCTTCATCTTATTGTCTCAGGAGGGCTGGATTTTGCTAATCAGCGCTATGCCACACCACTAATTTTCTCCCTTCACAGTTTCTCTTGGAAATGAAAAAAGGCAGACCTGCTCCCATTGCTGAGACAGCAAGTTATGAAAGTCCTTTTTTGTTGTAGATAGGGACTGATTCTTCTATCTACGCCAATATATTTGCAGGCATAACTTTGCACGCTTCCCCATACAATACATGGTACCCATAGTGTGGCACTCCTGGTGAATTTCCTACTAGTTCATTATTAGTGCAAAAGTGTGAACTTATTGCCTAGTGGACACAATGTTACACGTCAAAAGTGGAGGCCAGATTGAAAATTGGGCTCAATGAGAATGGGTTTTTTTAGCTGTTAGTAGGAACTGTAGAATAGGATTTGAATGAGATGTGCAATGTGGATTATCTTGGTTCCTACAAAGCTGTGATGATCTATTATTCTTTTTTTAATCTACTCAGAAAATCCAGATAAACAAATGGAGCTGCACATCAGAAATTGAAAATACATAATTTTGTGGTCAAAAAGTGTATTAGAAAAGCAGAAAGTTTTCACTCAGTTAAGTTCAGTCAGGTAATTTTGCAGTCCTGTTAACTACTACTGCATTTCTACTGGCCTGATCTGAAACCCATTGAGGTCAATGGAAGATCTTCTCTGTGCTTCAGATTAGGCCTGATGTCAACAGTTTTGTACTTAATGCAGAGATTGGTCATATAGTGTGGGTTGAATTCTATGCTCCAATCCCAGTAAAAACTAAGTGGGATATCTGTGGTGATATGGATTTAAGTGAAAAACAGATTTTTGCCTTTGATTTTTAATTTTGGGAAAAGAGAGTTTTTATTGCTCATAGAAACGATGTTGCTGCTCTTGGGCTGATATTTTCCTTATTGTCTAAGCATCTTCTCTGTGAAATTAGCAGGATTTCTTAAAAACACATGGGAATTTTTAGGCTTTTAGACTGACTCACAATGCAATGTTAAGGTGATACAGATCCTATTATTCCTATTGTTTTCTATTGCTTTCAACAATAATTAATTTAGATTGTTTTTCTTAATAAAATTCTATTGCTGTCTTACCTATTTTAAGTCCTAGCCCTATGCTATTGACAAATGTCTCCTCTCTTGTTCATGAAATCAATATCTGTGATATGTTTTGCACTCATTCAACAGAGATCTGATCTGCAGGTGAATCTAAAAAGAAAATTTTATTTGGATTCTCCTCCCCACTTAACATCAGTTATTTTCTGCTATCTGTCTTATTAACCTGTGCAACCCATCTTACCTGACTACCTCTTGGGATATTGCTTATAGATTTAGGGCTTGTCTACATTTAAAATGCTATAGAGGTGCAGCTGCACTACAGTAGTGCTTCAGTGTAGAAACTGCCTAGTCCGATGGGAGGGGTTCTCCCACTGGCGTAGGTAATTCACCTCCCCAAGAGACAGTAGCTAGGCTGATGAAAGAATTCTTCTATCAACCTAGTGCTGTCTACATGGAAACTTAGGTCATCTGAACAACGCTGCTCAGAGGTGTGGATTTTTCACACCCCTGACGAATGTAGTTAAACCAACTTAATTTTCTAATTTTCTGACCTTCTCTGTGTGAGCCTGACATACCAATCATTTTATGAAGAGTGGTGTACTGGTTTTCACATAATTTCTTGACATCTCCAGCATTAAAAGTGGCAAATCTTAACAATCTGACTCTTTCTTGTGAATGTGCTGATTTCTCATGTGCTGATGTATTCCTTTGCATGTGCTGATTTATTTATCAAAGATGAAATTCACCCCAGGATAGGAGTCTTACATAAACAAGCACTCCCCACTTAAACCCTTAAGGGAATTGTAGGAATTTATGCCTGTTCTCTGAGCTGGGGTGAATTTCACCACAAATTCAAAGAAGTTAAAGGTAAAATCTGAACCATAAAAAATGGAGCAGTTTATCCTACTAGAGTTGCTTCAAGGCATTAAGAGAGCTTTTAAACACGTTTTTTTTTTCCAGTTTCAGTACTTGATCATTTCATTAATTTTGTCTTCAAAATACACCATTGTCTGCTGCAAGCAATTAGTTTATTCCTAATGTTTTATCTAGACACAATGGACCTACTTCTCACCTTCGGTAAAATTCACTGTTTCCTTGAGCATTTCAGCTAGGCAGCATATTTGCTAGAATATTTGTGGAAATTGAACACAGCTGAATCTAGATTGGTATTTTTATCTGATTGAATATTTGTTGGAAAATATTTTGAGAGATTCACCCATGAATTCCTAGTGAATTAACATAGCCCACTCCGGAAAGCTATTATGTTTTTGTCCAAGAACAATGTAGAAATTTCTAAAGCTAATGGCTATACAGTGTTATTGAGGATCAAAATAAGACCAGATAGAGCTGTGGCTGAAGAAATTAAAGTACCTTTTCATACTGTAGGCCAGGGTTTAACTCAAAATCGATCTTCCACATTCACTATTAAATAACCTTTAGGAACTGGTCCCCTGAACACTGACTTGGGAGAAAAGTTGTAATTGATTTTTAGTGCAGCACGATCGCATGAAAGCTGTTATATAACTGCTGTCTGGATTTATTTGCCAAGTGAAGGGGACAAGTTAGCAAAGTGCGGTGTAAACATCAGTTTAAAGTGGAACCTCATTAATGTTTTCTTCTCATAGAAAAATCTCGCTTAATCATTCTTATCTGGGCAGTCATTTCCTTGGAAGTGACTTGCAGTGGAGTGACAAATTCTGTCTGTAGAACCTAAATTGAATGTTTGCAGGACCAATTCCTACTGAAGCTTAGTGTCAGGTCTAGTCAAGCTTTCAGCTCGTCCTTGCAAACCTCATGAAGTGATTTCCTAACTTAACAAATCGTATTGCACAAGTGCTTAGAGTGGGTGAGTGGGATAGCATACATTTACACTTACTGCTGCTGTTGAGCTATATTTGCCCCTCAGTCAGCTTAAACACTGCTGTTAGAATGTGCACTGGGTCTACTAGGGTGACTACCTATATTTCAAGGAAATAAAGAGTTAAGGTATGAAAAGTACAAGGCAAAGCTTATTTTTAAGGGACACCGCCCCTACAATGATATAAGGTAGTACATTTTTGTAACAGTGTATGATCTTTTGCACAATTATTTACCGAATTGTTGCTTTAAACCAAACATTTTGCCTGATTAAGTAATTCTTAGATGTGTCTTATGGAATATCGATCATGGGTCAATAGGCAGAAAATAAGGTTCCCTAAAAATATAGGGCAGAGGGCCTTCTTCAATCTCACAGTTCTAGAGCTGGTCAGGAATTTTTTGATTAAATATTTTTTCATCAGAAAATGCTGATCCCTCAAAATGTAAGCTGTTGGTTGGGTTTGACAAATTTCTCATTTTGAAAAAAATTAAGAAAAAAAGCTTTTGAAATTGTTGAAATATCCTGTTTTGAGCTTTTTGAAAATTAAAAGTTCTGTTTTTCAATTTGTTTAAATAGTCAAGCTAATAACGATAAACCAAAAATAAATAAAGGAGGTCAAACATGAAATTAAACATTTAAGTTTTGGTTGACCTGAACTGATTTTTTTCAGATTGTTGGTTTGTGAACATTTTCAAAATTTTGACTATTTGTCCTGATTCAGGATGAAAAAACATTCTGAAATCTTGAAAATGTTTCCAACACAGGAAACCTCCATTTCCCAGCTCTATGCAGCTTACCTGGAAGAAAATTATATAATCTCTTCCTCTTCTAGCTATCTGGTTTACTGCATTTTCCATCAAATTTATCTTCTGTGCATCTGTCTATGTTTTCTTGTCGCCCTAAATGGGAAGATGCAAGTGCTCAGCACTACGTAAAATAGAATGTCACCTTTGTTCAAGAGCACAAGCTAAGACACTGCTGTACGAAGCCTGCCATGATCAACAAAAATAGAAATGTGAATAATTTGATTACCTCAGAAGTTTATCTTGTCACCTTGCCACTGGTGTTTGTATTATTCATTTTGGTGTCTTCCTTAAAGAGGAGATAGACTTAGATTGTGAAATGTACCAAAATATGTGGATAAAAATCTTGGATGATCGTTAGATGAAATGCTCTACAGGTGTGTGATTTTAATTAAAGGTGAATTAATGTGGCTTTGAAAAATAAATACATTAAACATGTAAAGCTGCTGTAATACTTAGAGGTGGACTCTAAGAAACACACCCTGACTAGCTGGGGTACTGGGTGTCGGTGTCAGTCACCCTTTTACCATTTTGTCTCTGTCAGGGTTTCTTCCCCACTCTGAACTCTGGGGTACAGATGTGGGGACCCGCATGAAAGCCCCCCTAAGCTTATTTTTACCAGCTTAGGTTAAAAACTTTTCCAAGGCACAAATTCCACCTTGTCCTTGAACAGTATGCTGCTACCACCAAGTGATTTAGACAAAGAATCAGGGAAAGGACCACTTGGAGTCCTATTCCCCCAAAATATTCCCCCAAGCCCTACACCCCCTTTCCTGGGGAAGGCTTGAGAATAATATCCTCACCAATTGGTACAGGTGAACACAGACCCAAACCCTTGGATCTTAAGAACAATGAAAAATCAATCAGGTTCTTAGAAGAAGAATTTATTTAAAGATAAAAGAATCACCTCTGTAAAATCAGGATGGAAGATAACTTTACAGGGTAACAAAAGATTCAAAACACAGAGGATTTCCCCTCTAGGCAAAACTTTAAAGTTACAAAAAACAAACAAACCAGGAATAAACTTTCCTCTTAGCACAGGGAAAATTCACAAGCTAAAACAAAAGATACTCTAACACATTTCCTTGCTATTACTTACTATTTCTGTAATATCAGATGTATCATTTCAGTGGGAGCTGGATTACTTGCTTGGTCTCTCCCTTTGTCTCTGGAGAGAAAACACCCACACAGCCCAAAACAAAGCCTCCCCTCCCCCCAG